TCTAATTAACAATTATAGACTGAATAAATAAAATGTGTCGTCTTTTCCTGCGCAGATTTACATCAGAATGTATGTGAAAGACCTAGAAAGGGCAAAGATGGGATTATGTGGACTGCCAGACAGAAACCATCTTACCAATGCCAAGTCAGACCTGGACAGCATCATACATGTGTATCCCTGCCTGAAGACATACCTGGAAATGGGACAAGTAAGTGGACCGGTTACATATAGTAAGCCGTGGTACACATACGACCCCAACATTTACTAAAAGGTCAGCCCAAGGCAAAACTATTCTTTCAGATTTGGAAGAAATCAGGACCAAGTAACAAAGTGGAACTGAATCAGAGAAGGGCAAAGTAGTTGCTTTTCTTGCAAATCATACGGTATAAGCTCTTGAAGGCACTTAAATGCCCCATTTACATGGGGACTTCTGGGATTCCTGTGCCAAGAACCTATGGATTCTTGTGGCAGGAATCCCAGGTGTCCACATTCAGATATCCTGCGACAGGAATCCCAGGTGTCCCTGTTAGGATATCATACAGCAGGAATCCCAGGTGTCCCATTCAGATATCCTGCGGCAGGAATCCCAGGTGTCCACATTCAGATATCCTGCGGCAGGAATCCCAGGTGTCCCTGTTAGGATATCATACAGCAGGAATCCCAGGTGTCCCATTCAGATATCCTGCGGCAGGAATCCCAGGGGTCCCCATTCAGATATCCTGCGACAGGAATCCCAGGTGTCCCTGTTAGGATATCATACAGCAGGAATCCCAGGTGTCCCATTCAGATATCCTGCGGCAGGAATCCCAGGTGTCCACATTCAGATATCCTGCGGCAGGAATCCCAGGTGTCCACATTCAGATATCCTGCGGCAGGGATCCCAGGTGTCCCTGTTAGGATATCATACAGCAGGAATCCCAGGTGTCCCTGTTTGGATATCTTGCGTCAGTAATCCCAGGTGTCCACGTTCAGAAATCCTGCATCAGAAATCCCAGGTGTCCCCGTTCGGATATCCTGGGGAAGGAATCCAGGTGTCCCTGTTCAGATATTCTGCAGCAGGAATCCCAGGTGTCCCCATTCAGATATTCTGCGGAAGGAATCCCATGGGTCCCCGTTCAGTTATCCTGTGGCAGGAATCCCAGGGGTCCCGTTCAGTTATCCTGTGGCAGGAATCCCAGGGGTCCTGTTCAGTTATCCTGTGGCAGGAATCCCAGGTGTCCCCATTCAGATATCCTGCGGCAGGAATCCCAGAGGTCCCCGTTCGGATATCCTGTGGCAGGAATCCCAGGTGTCCCATTCAGATATCCTGCGGCAGGAATCCCAGGTGTCCCCGTTCAGATATCCTGTGGCAGGAATCCCAGGTGTGGTGCCAGTGACAGGATCACTCATTTGCCATTAACCTTATTGATAAAGCTTCTTTCCAGGGCAGAAGCTCATCTGTAAGTAGTTCACATAACCTGGAAGCCCCCTTTAACATGTGCATGTTCATCCAGCGTATAACTAGACACTTACAAACAGCTGTCTATGCTTCCTTTCAGGTCTGTTATTACATGGGTGTGGATGCTGTCCAAGAACTGCTACTGACTGATGAAAATGCAATCAATAACGCATTAGTCTGCATTGCCAAAGCCATAGAGTTTGACTTGGGTGATACTTTCCCTGAACTCCAGCTCCTGAAAGGAAAATGCCTAAGGGTAAAAGGTGAAGAACGAAATGCTATTGAGTGTTTGAAGCGGGCAATTCAGCTGGACAACAAAGGCTCGCTGGGCACAGAGACCTTCCGATGCCTAATGGAGACACTGCTGAGCCTGTACCACCAGAACAAAATGGACGCCACAGATCTCATCCAGGAAGTAGAATTCTGGGTTAAACAGACTCAGGAAAAACACACACCAGAAGCTGTCAGCCTAGAGCTACAGACTGTTTGCAGAAACAACACAACAGAAGTCGTGAATCTTTCCAAAGCAATGATCGCAATGGGCAAAATGGACTTGGTGAAGCTTTTGTTTCAGTCTATGAAAGTCAATGGCAAGAGGCCAAGTCTAGGTGTAAGGCCAAGTCTAACACTAAGCAACCGGTCATCTTCCATCTAAATCAATAAATCAATAAATAAATAACATCATATAAATGTTGGCAGTGATATAATAAGGCTAAGAGCTTCGTGAGATGTGAAGTAATGAATACTAACCAACAAAAAAATCATATTCTATTCTTCTGTCTGCCCTAACCCAATGATGTAGAGATGTGATAAGATGCTCCGGGGTACCGTGTATGAACTCTACTGCACTGCCTTATTAGATAAGTCTGTGTATATATTTTTTTTACAATCGATATCCTTTTTGTCAAATCTAAAGCTGTATTCTACAATCAAAAAAAATAGTTTTTGTTATGTTGGTGAATGTTTCCTGTTGTATATTCCCTCATCTTTGGAAGTCACACAAAACACCAACAGGCTGTCACTGTCTGATCTTGCAACACGTACCTAGGCCTCTCTACTCTTTGCCCTTCCTTACCAGTGGTAGTGGGTGATCAGATTGTACGTGCAAGTTCAACTAAACCTCTCTGTATAGGGACAGCTTCTTTCCTAAGATAAGCAGCACCAGCATTTCCCATTTAGCTTTGCTCTACTTCCCCTCCCCAGGATTAAACATGAAAGCTATGGTGCAGCAAGTGTTTATGGCAGAATGGTGGAATAGAGATGTTTGGACGTACTTCTACGTCTTACTGCTGGACAGAAAAAATTGCAGTTAAACAGTGATGGGTGCTCCAGATTGTCTCATATATTCCAATGTCTCCTGTGAATGCTATAAGGCAATTTTGGTCATGAGGATAACAATTTTTAGTGTGTGTGTATGTATATATATATATATATTGTACACACCCCTGCAATCCCTGTCCACACACTCGTCTACCTCTGGCAGTAAGCGAATCCTAAATGCCACAGAGAACAAGGGACTGCTCTCTGCAGAATTCTGTGAGCCCAGAATGTCATGTCATTGCTTCCACCTTGGGCTCACAGGAGATTACTGCAGACAGCAGTGCCACATTCTCTATAAAATATACACTACATTGCCAAAAGTAGCGGCGGCGTGCTTTACACCACTGCATCCGACGCTCTGCATTGCACTTGGTGATGTAAGGCTTGGATGCAGCTGCTCGGCCATGGAAACCCATTACATGAAGCTCTCTACGCACTGTTGTTGTGCCAATCTGAAGGCCACACGAAGTTTGGGGATCTGTAGCTATTGACTCTGCAGACAGTTGGCGACTTCTGCGCATTGTGCGCTTCAACATGCGCTGACCCCGCTCTGTCATTTCACGTGGCCTACCACTTCGTGGCTGAGTTGCTGCTGTTCCCAGTTGCATCCACTTTGTTATAATACCACTAACAGGTGACCGCTGAATATTTAGTAGCAAGGAAATGTCACGGATGGACTTATTGCACAGGTGACAACCTATCACAGTACCACGCTTGAATTCATTGATCTCCTGAGAGCGAACCATTCTTTCACAAATGTTTGTAGAAGCGTCTGCATGCCGAGGTGCTTGTTTTTATACACCTGTGGCCATAGAGGTGATTGGAACACCTGAATCCAATGATTTGGAGGGGTGTCCCAATACTTTTGCCAATACAGTGCATCTAGGCATCATTCATTCCATAGACAAGCAGTGATACATTGCTGGATGGGCACCTGTGCAGATGACAGCACCAGAGATGAGGTGAGTGTAGGAGGCAGAGCTGCTTTTTTTTTATATTTGATCATTTTATTATGATTTACACATTCCTATTTCTCAGTCAAATGTTTCCAATGAAGTCAAAGAACAGTGATGATATGCAAAGTGCAGAATCTGATGGCAACCAGTAAGAAATTATCTGGTTAGATAATCAGTCCGTGCCATATACTGGAATCTGATTGGCTGCTTAGGGCACTGCACTTTGCTCATCAGTGCTCACGCCCAGTTTCGGGGTGCATTTCGGTACACTGCAGTGTGTTTAAAATATAACCCCCTATTTTGCTGCCTGTTTGGTGGTATTAACATCAAAATGCTTCATCAACTGGAATGAATTCTAACACATGTAAAACGCATCCAAAAATGCACCGCACCTCTCATCTGAATGAACATGAATGTATCTGACTGCTATCTTATCTGTTGCTAGGAGTCTAGGACAAAAAACAGTGACGCCATGTTATAAAACTTCCGGACAGAAGGTTTTTATTGCCAGCTAAAATGATTTTAAAAAAAACCCCCACAGGAATAATAACATTGTCATAAAAATGATTCCTACCCCCACATATACCAATCAGCTAATGGAGCTGGAATACAGTGTATATAGTAACATTACCTACAGTGTCATAATTTAAAGAGAATCTGTCACCAAGCTCCACCCCATTTGTTTCATAAAAAGTGATATAAAATAATCTGCCTGGCCAGCCTTTTTATCAAGATGTCTAAAAGAATGATATTGCCTAAAGCTGCCGATTTCTTCTTTATAGCTACTAATACTAAGAGCCGATTCACAGACCAGATGTGTTGGAGCTGCGCTGGCCGTTGTTTCCAGCGCAAGACAAGGTAACTTGCCCTGTCACGGACGGGATCAGTTCACACCACCGCTTTGCGATGTGCAAGGATTGGCGCATCTGCACTGTGGGGGCACTGCACACCAGGCACTGTGCAACTAGCGCAGCGTCTGGTGTCAAGGGGCTCTAAGGCCCTGTTCACATTCGCATTGCAGGAAAGCGTGTCACGTTCACGCACGTTCCTGCGCATCTGTCATGCATCAGCCCTTTCAATCCATTGATTTATTAGGCTGATGCATGGCAAATGTGCATGGCCTGCCACATGTGCGACAAAGTAGCTTATGCAGCATTTCCAGCTGCCAGTGCCCCACGTCCCGTGCAAAAAACTGAATGTTACCAGCTGCGTTCGGGGTGCCATTAGTATTGGCACTGCAACTGTGTTGCATGAATGCGTGCCAAAGTACACTCATTGGCACCCAATCATGCAATACAAAAGTGTGACTGGGGACTAAAGGAATGAAAGGAAAGTGATGACTCATTGGATATATGGAAAATGTCCATCCCCAGTACAGGTGCCACTCTGCCTGAACAGCTCTTTTTCAGTATGGTCACATTTGCTGTACCTCAGTTCTAGAGGCACTAAACAATGTCACTGCACCCCTCATTTACACAGGCAGAGTTAAAAAAAACTAGTGTTTATGACATTTCACTTGCTTATGAATGCAAAGAGCAGCACTCCAAACTCCAGTGAGTATGGACTCGATCTGCGTTATATATTCAACAAAGATTAGAACCTCTGTTGGTTTTTTTGGCTGTTTGTGCAACTTATGGGGAGCACAACCTCTCACTTCCTGTGTGATTACCAGGACAGGAATAGGAAAGGGGGAATCTATCCCAAAGGAACACAGCCAATCCAAAAAGGTCATAACCCACCGCCCAGCTTCCTGATTGGAAAGGAAGGCGGTTCCATGCTCCCTTGGCACTGCCGATGAGAGGGAGATCTCCCTCTGACCGCAAGTTCCAGTATCGGAGGTAAGTATCGGAGCATTTGGGCGAGTACTACTACTACTACTAGTATCGGTGCATCCCTAGTAATAAACTCACCATACTTGTCTTGGATCATAAAGTATTGATGCTAGTGGTCAGAACTAGGAACTACCATGGAGATGATGGGGTCTGAAAACTCTGTGCTCCTGCCATGATTACCCTAGCTCAGAGACTCACTGGGTGGGGAAGTCATGATGAGACGGATGAGAAATTTGTTGCTCCCATATTTCTTTATTGACAGGTTCACTGTAAAAAGGACAATTGAACGTGAATGGTTGGTTTACTCATATTAACCAGACTCCAGCTGTTAGCTTTCTAGGGCAGGCTTTAGCATACACTGTACGTTATAGAAAATGCCACTCCACCAGTAAGGTATACCCACCGGTCCCCACTCTGATGCCACCTAGCTGCTTCATCAGAGTCTTCCCTTCTTGTTTTCCCTAGGCCCAAACACTGTCACAATGGTAGGAGCGTGGCCTGTGGTGATATCCATATGGATAACCTCACACAGGGTGAATCCTAAAACAGGGAGACATTGAGAGAGCATGGATCAGTGAGTATACCTAGATGGGGGTGGCGATTATCAGGGGGCACTGTTAGACGAACGGGGTTATTCCCAAAAGGGTGAAGAGTTTGGAGAAGTGAACTATCTAGGCCAAAATAGCTGATTTGGAAAAATTCTAATATTCAGCTCACTTTCCAATTCAGCTATGTTGTCCTAGATTGTTCACTTCTCCGGCCTTCTCCAAACTCTTCACCCTTTTGTGAATAACCCTGTAAGACTCTTTCAATACTCTTCATAAAGTCTTATGGTAAGTGAGCAGAGTCTTACTGTTCATATGAAGCAGCAGCCCACAGCCTTAGTAGAAATCTGTCCCTCACTGTCATGCAGCGGAGCCAGACTGCAGCACTCTGTGTGTAAGCACTTGTCCTCTCTGCTTTAGTTTGACATGCCCCCTGTATATTAGAGATACAGCCCTCTGCTCAGCAGGGAGTGTGAACTTTGCTGAGTGGAGGGCAGTAGCTCTGACTCACAGAGGGAGTGTTGCATCACAGCAGAGAGCTATAGTACGGCTCTGCTGCATGACAGCACGGGACAGGCTTTTACTATGGCTGTGGGCTGCTCTACCATATGAACAGTTAGACTCTGCTCACTTACCATTAGACTTTATGGAGGAACCTACTGGAAGAGTCTTCGTCTAGAGTTTAATTGTAACTTATAGTCCAATTCTTGACAAAACTTTATTTTTGTTTTGGACTGAGGTGCAAAGAATTAGGACTTCAGTCAGAAGTTAAAGTGACATTAAACCCTCAGATTTTTTAACATAAACCAATACTGTAATGTGTGCCTTACTGTAATCCATGGTTGTTTCCATTCTCTTTGCTGCTCTTCCTTTTAAATCTTTAGCTCTTCTCATGCTGGGCAGAACTTCTGTTTTGCAGCAGACTGCCTTGTCTCTGAAATGGATACATGGTGTCTGTGTGCAGGTTCACAACCTGAGCCAGCACTACAGGAAGAGGCACTCAGCTGCAAAGGGAAGTTCTCACCAAGCATGAGAAGAGCTAAAGATTTAAAAGGAAGAGCAGCAAAGAGAATGGAAACAACCATGGATTACAGTAAGGCACACATTACAGTATTGGTTTATGTTAAAAAATCTGAGGGTTTAATGTCACTTTAAATGCTGTTTGTGTCTTCCACTAAGGAGAATTTTCTGTCAAATTAAAATGCCCTCAATGCCCATAGAAGAGGTTTTTCTTCTGATCTACTATCTGATACCTGTCACCTGCACAGGAAGTGAAATCTCTCACATGGTGACACAAAGAGCAATACAATCCTGACAGAGGTTCCTCACCTTTCATTCCTGCCTGTGTCCCTATTAGTGGATTTGCCCTCACTTGCTGTTCTGCATGAAACTTGTTAAACAGACAGGAAATGAGGAAAAAAATCCAAATAGGGGCTGACCGCAAAAAAAAAAAAATGTGACAGGTTCTAACCATTTGCTACAATATCCATAAAAAGTTGGGAGGAGTTAGGCTTTATAACATGGAATAAATGAAAATGAGTTGAAATGTTGTCCTGGCAAGAATCTAGACCTCCCTGCAAAGTTTGGAACACCTTCCTTATAAATCATCCAATGTGAAGGCCACTTGACCAAGACCTCTTCTATACATGCTCATTCCAGTCTTGGGTGCAGACTCACATCTTGGCTTGTCCCAGCCTGATTTCATGACCATGCAAGCCACACACCAACCTCAGTCCCAATGTAAATCTTTACTTAGACCACCTGGACTCCCTGCACAAAGTCCAACAGGCCTTCCTTAGAGAAGTACTGGACCTCACCAGTTCTGTGGTTCTGAACTTCAAACTGTGGTGGACTCTCCAAAGCCTTTTTGCCCACTACAATTACATAGGGATAGCCCATCACATGGGCTTCCTTTACCCTTTTTCCTATAGTCAGATGATCCCGATCGTCTAGAACCACCTCATCTCTTAAATGATGGATTGCACCTACGGCATCATAGAGTTCCTCTACTGCCGATAATGCTGCACTCTCTTTGCTTCCCTTTTTGGGGGGAATAAGACATATCTGGTATGGAGCAATTAGACTTGGCCAGTGAATGTCCTCCTCAGTGGAAAGAACTTCTATTGATGCTGCCAAAAGTCTTGATATGCCAATGCCATAGCATCCCATTTCAGCAATGGTGGGTGTGTTCTGTTGATCGTAACAGACAGCATTAAACGCAAGGGAGTATTTGGTTCCCAGGTAGAACGTGTGACCTATCTCAATGCCTTTGCTCTCCACCAGGTTTCCAGAACATACCGGACAGGTATTCTCCTCTGCTGTCAAGGTCTCCACGTTGGCTGCAAAGTCACAACTCCCACACACCATCAACTTGTCTTCACCAATGCTGGCAGGTAGATGGAACTCGTGTGACATTTTCCCCCCAATGTTTCCCGTATCTGCCTGGACTTTCACATACTTCAAGCCAAGAGTGTGGAAAAGTTTGCAGTAGGCCTCGCACACGCTGTTGTACGTTCGGTGGGCAGCTTCCTCGGTTACGTCAAAAGTATACATGTCCTTCATGTAAAACTCCCTGCCGCGCAGCAGGCCAAAGCACGGCCTCTTCTCGTCTCTGAATTTCCGAGTGATCTGATAGAGCAGCAGAGGAAGCTGTTTGTAGCCGACTCCCCCTTCGGTGGCAACAAGGTGGGTAATAGACTCTTCATGTGTGGGTCCCAAGCAGTATTCCTGGTTGTGTCGGTCCATCAGACAGAACAGTTCCTTTCCAACTAAATCCCAGCGTCCACTTTTTCTCCAAAGAGCAGCAGAGCAAAGCGTGGTCATGTCCATCTTCTGTCCTCCAATGTCATGCATGGCGTGATCGACAAGGCGAATTAGCTTCTCCATGGCTCGTACAGTATAGGGCAAGTAATGGAAGCAGCCGGGGCTGGAGGGCCGTATTAAGCCTGCTTTGGTCATGAGTCTTTGACTCCTGCTGGTGGGCTCATTGGATTTTTGCTGCGCTTCTGAAGAACTTTCCTTCCACAGACTTCCCGGATGATAAATCTTAGAGACTAAGTGACGCCTCCCTTGGCCTGCATCGTGGTAATGATATCTGCTGGCCACTAGATGGGGCAACGATAGTCTCAGCAGTCTCACCATTGCAGGTTCCCTGGGAATGACAAGCAGAACATCTCGTTTTGTTAGTTCTCGGCAGGCTTTAACACAGTATACAATCTATGTCCTTGTAGTTACAAAGTTAAGATGTTAAAACTACTACCAGTGAAGCAGCAGAACATACCCCCAGCCTGCTGATTGGACAGTGGAGTCTTAGCAGCAGATTTGATGAGCTCATCTCTCTGCTCACTCTGCTCTCTCCCTCGGTCAGCAAGTTCCCTGTCATGTCCACTGCAGCAGGTTGGCTCAAAACCAACATGTATCTCAAATCTATAATTACATCAATGCCAACCAAACGTTTTATTTAACTTTTAGAATGAACAGGGATAATTATACAAGCCCGTGCAGTTCAACCGAACCCCATACCCACAGCTGATCCAGAGGAAGGGAACCCCCTATAAAGCATAGCCCAATCCTTCCTGATCCCCTAGTCCAGGGGTAGCCAAACTCCGGCCCTGCAGCTGTGGTGGAACTACAAATCCCATGAGGCATAGCAAGATTCTCACAGCAACAGACATGACTCCCGGAGAGAGATGCATCATGGGATTTGTAGTTTCACCACAGCTGGAGGGCCAGAGTTTGGCTACCCCTGCCCTAAGGCAATCAGATATTTCCTGGATCAATAATCTCGGGTGTTAAAGCAGTGGCCAACTTATTTTGATATAAGGGGTCTTAAAGGCGTATTTCACCTTTTTGTAAAACATTAGTAATGCCCCATATCCATATGCACCCACATAATACACCATATCCATATACACCCATATAATGCGTACACATCCATATGCACCCACATAATACACCATATCCATATACACCCATATAATGCGTACACATCCATATGCACCCACATAATACACCATACCCATATAATGCGTACACATCCATATGCACCCACATAATACACCATATCCATACACCCATATAATGCGTACACATCCATATGCACCCACATAATACACCATATCCATATACACCCATATAATGCATACACATCCATATGCACCCACATAATACACCATATCCATATACACCCATATAATGCCCCATATCCATATACACCCATATAATGCGTCCATATATCACAAAGAAAACAATGCTCATTGATTAAATGTTTTGCATTTGAGCCTGCAAAGCATTGCAGTGGATGGCGGATGCAACGCTCAGGCTCCTGCAGACTCTTCCCCCAGGTCAGTACATAGCTATGCACCTTTGGTTATGGGGCTGGAGGAAGGTATCACTGCGATGACATCACTACACTTGTGCTCCACTGAGAACTACAAGTCCCTCCGTCTCTGTCACGGTGGCTTTTTCATTCATAGATCCTGTGGATGATGTGTGAAGCAATGGTACAGCGGTGTTGTAGGTGAAGCCATGTACAGCCGCACTGATTTTTTTTTAAATGCAGGAGCCTGCGGGGAGAAGAACCCCATGATTTAGGTAGGTGTGGGGGCCCGGGGCGGAATGAGGGAATGCGGAATGGCCCTAAGTTCCATGTTACCCCCTAAATATGGATGGTGCATGGTATAAAAAGTAGAATTAGCTTTCGAGTGTGGCCCCTGACATCACCAAAGGGCCACACACAATATTCAGGAGGCAGTCAGTGCCTGGAGACACATTACATGAGATTGATACAGATATTGCACCCCTCCACACATCAATGCTTCCATATTTTTGCACCCTATGGCCCTTTTAGAAATGATTTGTACCACTTACCAGATCCACAAAGAGGGATCAGAGGGGAAGAAAAAACATAACAGTACAGCACAGAGAGTGTAAGAGAAATACACCAAACCATGAATTACATTACAAGGACCCAGTCTGAAGAATATTGTTCCTTTCCTGGCGTGAGTAAGGACCCAGGTAAGAAAAACCCAGAATACAGTATTCCAGGGTTCTGAAGGCTGCACAAGAAGCACCAAAGGGTCACATGTGGCCCCCTGGGTTTACTGTCGCACAATAAAAGGACTGCACAATAGGTGCCAAATGTGGCCCCCTGGACCAAAAGTTAGGCATCCCAGGTGTTAGACAGAAGTTCATTTCACCCAAAAAAAATAAGTGTTTTTCTGCAACTGGTGCCCCAACTGGAGAGATTTCAACCTCACTTCCTGTCCCTACAGGAAGTAAGGGGAAATCTCCAACGAAAGGGTTACAGACTTAAAAACATTACAGGGTTTCTATCATTTTCCCACTCTGCCCAAAACTAAGAAAGAAATTAGTTTTGTCTGGAGCTGGACTCAACAAACATTGCCTTATTTATAAAACTGGAGGACAAGAAAAGTGCAGCAAGACAACAAACCGGAAAAAGGGAAATATCACCTAGTACGATGTGACGGGAAGTCCCTTCAATGTCCCCATACAATGCATAGAACACACAGATCTCATTCCTGTCCATATCCTCTCCCAGCTCTGGTCATACCCACCATATACTCCACTCTGTCTTCCAGCACTGCCAAGGTTAAAACAACCCGGAACCTCGCTCCCCCGGCACACGTGGGGGAAGAGAGAGCGTGCTGCGCAGTCAGGAGCACGTGGGGAAGGAGGATCTGGAACCGGAAGTGGAGGAGACTGTGACAGGGAAGCCGCAAGTGACACACTGTACTGTGTATAGAGAGTCTGTGGCCGCGATCGGTGTTAGATCTGAGGATTGCTTCTATAGGTATCGGCTATTTGTTTACACGTATGGACTGGCTTTGGCTGGAGAGTGTGGGACTAAAAGTTCCAGCCAGCCCTCACTACTCAATTTAGGGTTTTACATCTGCAGGTATCAGCGATTTGTTTACAGGTATGGGCTTGAGTGGCTGGAGAGTGTGGGACTACAAGTCCCAGCCAACACTCACTACTCAGATGAAGGTATTATATCTACAGTAGCTGATCTATTTGTTTACATCGATCAGCCATAACATTATGACCACCTGCCTAATATTGAGCCATGGACTCCACTAGACCTCTGAATGTATGCTGTGGTATCATCTGGCACCAAGCCGTCAAAAGCAGATCCCTTGAGTCCTGTAGGTGCGAGGTGAGGCCTCCATGGATCGGACTTGTATTTCCAGCACATCCCACAGATGCTTCATTGGATTGAGATCTGGAGAATTTGTAGGCTGTGTCATGACCTCAAACTCCTTGTTGTGTTCCTCAGACCATTCTTGAACCATTTGTGCAGTGGGCAGGGTGCATTATCCTGCTGAAAGAGGCCACTGCCATCAGGGAATACAGTTTCCATAAAGTGGTCAGCAATAATGTTTAGGTAGGTGGTACGTGTCAGAGTGACATCCACATGAATGGCAGGACCCAATGTTTCCCAGCAGAACATTGCCCAAAGCATCACACTGCCTCTTCTGGCTTGCCTTCCTCCCATAGTACATCCTGGTGCCGTCTCTTCCCCAGGTTAGGGACACACTCAGCCATCCACATGTAAAAGAAAATGCGATTCATCAGACGAGGCTGCCATCTTCTATTGCACTGTGGTCCAGTTCTGATGGTCATGTGTTCATTGTAGGTGACGGACACAGATCAGCATGGGCACCCAGACTTGGTGTGTGGCTATGCAGCCCCATACACAACAAACTGCGATGTATTATGTGCTCAGACACCTTTCTATTGGAACCAGTACCAACTTTTTCAGCAATTTGAGCTACAGTAGCTCTTCTATTTGATCGGACTACACGGTCCAGCCTTCAATCCCTATGTGCATCAGTGAGCCTTGGCTGCCCATGACCCTGTCGTCGGTTCACCGTTTTTCCTTCTTGTAGCTCTTCTATTTGATCGGACTACACGGTCCAGCCTTCAATCCCTATGTGCATCAGTGAGCCTTGGCTGCCCATGACCCTGTCTTTGGTTCACCGTTTTTCCTTCCTTGGACCACTTTTGGTAGGTCCTGATCACTGTAGAGCAAGAACATCCCACAGGCGGTGCAGTTTTGCAGTTGCTCTGACCCAGTAATATAGCCACCATAATTTGGCCCTCAATGTCACTCGGATCATCACAATTGTCCATTCTTTCTGCTTCCAATACATCAACTTCAGGGACAAAATGTTCACTTGCTGTGTAATATATCCCCCTCACTGCCAGGTGCCATTGTAAGGAGATAACCAATGTTATCCCCTTCACCTCTCAGAGGTCATAATGTTATGGCTGATTGATGGATTTTAAAAAAAGATGCTTTGGCTGAAGTTGAGACATGTCATGAGAGAAATACGGGATCTGGGTACATGGGTATAATGCAGCGGTACTACACAAGAAGGTACAATTTTATTTTGACCTAATAATTTTACTAGAATTTAAATATTTGCTGTTTTCTCCACTCTAGTAGAGGACACTTCATAGCAGCGGTAAGCAAACTCCATCACTGCAGCTGTGGTGAAACTACAAATCCTGTGAAGCATCCAAAGACCCTGACAGCCACAGGCATGACTTTGAGAGGCAGATGCATGAAGGGATTTGCAGTTTGACCTCAGTTGGAGGGCCACAGTTTGGCTATCCCTGCTTTAGTGGATATATGTACATTGTAGTACAACGTGGATCCTTAGTTTTTTTTTTTTCCCTCTGCTTTTATGTTTAGTTGCTGCCATGGATACGAAACCAGAGGAGGAAGATGAAGTTATGGAGCAGTTCATGGATAAATTCCGCGCCCAAAAATACGAGGGGGCCTTTAATGAAGAACATTGGGAGCAGGTATGGAGGTTTTGTCTGATAAGAAGTTTACCAATCAATGGAGCATCAGTCCTATAAAACTACAGTGTCTGTGGCCACAATGCTTTGTAGGTGTAACATTCCCTTCCTGTGTGAGCATAGCGAGAGCTCTAGTCCTCAGTAACTGGTCTAATTTCTTGTTGTATATTCCCACAAAATGGGAAAAGCTTGAGGTTTGCTCCAGTTTTCGTATATTCATTTACATGGGTAAAATATATCTGGTGCAGAACCAGAAGGCGGATCAAATCATATTCCTAAAGTATATCTAAAACCATTTTAGTTTTGGATAGAGTGGGATTAAAACCCTTGTAAAATTTTACAGCTGTCTATGTCATTTCCTGTCCTGGAGACTTAACAGGAAGTGAGAGTAAAGTAAGGGTAAATCTGCTCCACATTGGGAGATTTCCACTGACTCAATGGAGAGGTCACTGCCTACACAAAGATCTATTCATAGGGGTAAGTGAGTGCTTGTTATGTGATGTATGAGTGTTTTCTGCATTCCATGTAGGAATTTGATAAGATCCCCATGTTCATGAAGAAAGCTCCTGATGACGATGCAGAGAAAACTCCGGAACTGGCCTGTCTGCAGTCAATTCTGACCAATGATCCTGACGGTAATATAATAGTTTAAGCAGCTGTTAAAGACATTTATCTTGAAGAGACCCTATCGCCCACCTAAAAATGCAGTTAAAACAAAGCTTCATAGCACTTTAAGCTTATTTCCTTTCCCTAAATGATTTATATTAACTTGGTTCTGAACTTAGCAAATTTGTCCATTACCATCCTTGTTCATTATAGCTGTCCTTTCTTGTAGGTCATAGCCCTCTTCACCTCCTATTAATGCTGACCCAGCTCCTTCAGCTCTCCCTTTATCTCCCTACATACACTTTTATATAGCAGCTGTGGGAGGAGTAAAGGGCAATGCTATAGTTTGTCACTTGAGTGACAACTCTTAGCCTGCTGGGACTACTGACGTCACATCCAAGATGGCATCATCCAGTCTTAGGGATTTTGGATGTCTACACAAGGGAGGCTTTGATGGGTAAATAAGATTCCTATAATACTATAAACTGCTTTTTGTTGATATATATGGTCTGGCGATAAGGTCTCTATAGGGCAACTTTTTAGGATGGCTGGAGTCTTATTGTCTGACTCCTTCATGGGGTGCTAGTTGTTGGGCAGGCACAACACTATATGTGATACAATGAGTCTGCTCTGCCGCTGAGCCAGATCTGCACCAGGAATCTGGCAGTAATGATGTCTATTACTGATTGCTCTGTCAGGATTTGTTACCAACTGAACAGGCACCTCTAAATCTGGGAAATGAAAGTGCTTGTAAACCATAGATACTCTTCCACCTTGTAAGGACAGGGCACACCACCATTAATCAGGTTACAGAGCAAGCACTCTACAATTATTAGTATAAGAACCTTTTTTTGATATTTATTGTGTAGGTCACATGAACGCTTCTCTTCTGTTCAGCATGGTCAGGCCAGTTTGCATCCTAGCAAAGATGTGACCGAATCATCACAGATCACTCAAGGAGTACTTGGGGGCCCATGTTGGTGCATCTTCATGACAAATTCATGTACATGGTTCTGATATGTCACACTTACTGACATTTGTTATACGTTGGAGCAGACTCTCTTTGTGAATTCCAAGGATTGTGCTAAAAGTAATAGAAGTAAATATGCGAGCTCTTGTACTAATATATATATACTAATATCGTGCACAGTAAGCATGACAAGTATAGCATAGTAAGGCTTTGTGCATGATAACTCATTGTGGAATAATTATGTTGATTTTATAAAACATTCACCTATTTCAATTATTGTAGAGTCATTTGTACTCGCAAGCTACACCGATTGTTGTCTGTGTCATCTTCACACTCACTGTCTGTGTTCCTGTAACAGAGCTGGCCTGTTCCTGCAAAGAGGAAGGCAATGACTATTTTAAGGAGAAGAAGTACAAGAAAGCCATTGAGGCGTATACAGAGGGCATCAAGAAAAACTGCAAAGACCAGGAGCTGAACGCGGTTCTGTACACCAACAGGGCGGCAGCACAGTTTCATTTAGGTATGTTAAAGGATTTGTTTTTTATATGAAGTGTTTGGCTTGAATAGAAATAAAGCCATGTGTTTACAGGTGAAACTCGAATAATTAGAATATCGTGCAAAAGTACTTTTTCGGGGAGTGGGGAAGGCTCAGAGCCTCTGCCAGATTTTCTTTGTTGCATGTGTCCCTGATAAAGAGATTTCCCCTTCACTTCCTGTCCCAGTGGCACACATGACATTCTTGTAACCTGCACTTCCTGTTTCCCTTGTCTGTAGTACATTCTTCATACATTGAGATATCCATAGAGACACCATTGGGGAACCAGTAACATTGTCAGTAGCTTTTAGTGGATTTTGTAGATGAATATATGAAAAATGCAGGAAATTTAATTTTCCACCAATTTCCTGGTGGCCACCAGGATAGGAAGTGACAATCACAGGGACACAGACAACAATAAAACATTAACCCTTGATCTGACATTTATCTCTGCCTTATTTAAGGTGTTTTATGCTACACGGAAATAAAGAATTATTTAGAGGCTTTGAAGTGGTGCGATGAAGGCTTACGGATCACCCCCACTGAGAGAAAGCTGCTGGAAATCAGAGCAAAAGCAGATAAACTGCAGGTAAGCGGATTGTGTAATCTGCAGGATGTAGTATCTCTTCTACGATGAGACAGGCTACATTATCACTATGCATAACGGTGTGATTTGGGATTCCTATGGAAGTTCAGCGGGAGCTGGACCCACATGTATACCGGATCATTTCTGGGGAGAAGAAGGTATTTCTTATTATAGTTGGCTTTACAATAAAGGCGAGGTACAACTTACTAAATTCCATTAAGATTATTGTGCCTGGAGTTAGGTTTTAAGTCTTGGTTCCTTTTTAAGCCTCCTTAGGCCGGAAATACTTTCCCTTTGCAACCACAGTGGATACTCTGGTGGCTTCTTGGGATCAGTGCATCCTGATCTATGCCATGATCTTTCCAGCACTGAAATGGAGGGAAATTCTTGTGATCCTCATTGCTCTGGACTGGCCCAGGTGGATGTGGAACACCAACTTAGTAAGTCTTATCGCAGATGCACTGTGGGGCCCTGTCAGACCATCTGGATCTACTGTCCCAAGGCCATCCTGCTTCATGATGCTCAAGTCTAGAAAGTCTACTTCCCACATGGTTTATCATCAGGCATGGAAGTCTTATTGTGCTTGGTGCATGTCTGTGGGCTTTCACCCCAGGAGCTTCCCTGTGGAATGAATCTACTTCTTCCTGCAGCTGGGCCTGGGCCAGCATCTGCCATTCAGGACTATCAATGGTCAGGTTTCTGCCCTTTCCATTATGCTTCAAAGACCATTGGCCTCTCACTCTTTGATTAAGATCTTTTTCTAGGACAGGGGTAGCCAAACTCCAGCTGTGGTGGAACTACAAATCCCATGAGGCATTGCAAGATTCTCACAGACATGACTCCTGGAGAGAGATGCATCATGGGATTTGTAGTTCCGCCACAGTTGGAGGCCCATGTGGCTCTCCGCATTCATTCCCCAATGACTTTGTGAGATCTGAATCTGTTTCTTTTGTGATTCAAAAGGACTTAGTTCAGAAAGATTTATTCCTTTTTTGTCATTCCGGATGGTCATCGTAAGGGCGGCTCGTGTTCTCATTCCACCATTTCTAGGTAACTCAGGCTGCCATTCAAGCTTATGGTTTCTAGGTTCAGGTTCTCCCCTTTCCTGTTAAAGAGGAACGTTAGCCATATCTTTGAAATGACAACAAACACACCTCTAGAAATGTTTAGTAATGACAAATATTCAAACAGATTCTTCTAGATAATTGATCATACTCTCTGTACTGCTTTGTTACAAACCTGAGGCATGCAGTAGGATAGGTTTTCCCAGGCTGGCCTACTGGTTTTTTTTTTCATTATTTTTGGCAGCGTCCAGTCCTCCTATAGGTGGGTGTAGAATCCAAAGGTTTAGGACGTCCTGTGTCCCTTTTTAATAGACTAAAAGAAAAGGAATTTGTGAGAAGTCCAAAAATCCTATTATTCTCATTACAGAGAGCAGCAGACAGAGATGCCAGGAGAATGAAACAGGCTGAAAAGAAGAAACATACAGAGAAGAATTCTTTGCTCAATGCCATTCAGGTATGTAGTCTAAAGTTTGTTTGTTTTTGTAGGAAAAAGGAAGTTGAGGAGTGTCGGGGATACATCATTTAGTGTTCCAGTGTAGCAGTTTTGTTTTCATTTGCTACCCAGAATTCTCAGCATTTCTTTCATCACTGATAGTTTTTGGCTTGATGAGATACAGTTGGCTTTACATCTATAAATCCAGTTTATACAATTTTATTGCCACAGAAAACTGTTGTGGAATGTATTTCTTTTTATGTAAATGAAACTGTATTTTATGAAAACTCCAAAAGTGCAGAGAAAAAATGAACCTGAAGAAATACATGGGAAAGACTCCATTGGTGTAGAAGTTGGTAAAAAAAAAAAAAGTTTGGCACAGGGTAAAAATAAAGTTTGTTTTCTTACCTACATCTGGAAAGTTGCTAGACATCAAAAATAATCCTATATTGACTAAAGTAAAAGGAGGGGGGAAAAATCTAGCGTGCTGTGTTTCTTGCCTTTCCAGTGTCCTGTCTTTCTGTCTGCTCCTTTAGTTACTTTTTGATTCTATAAGAGTTCATCAGTAATTACTGACACACTGGCCCTGATGGTAAGTAAGGCCCCCGTCACATTTTCCCAGGCCATTGAGTTTCGTTGCAGCCCATTCATGATAAATAGGTCTGAAATTCCTTTATATTTTGTAATGCAGTGCACCATAATACACAGTGTGGTGTGCTTCAGTGTGACTGTGTACAGTAATAGTATAATTGGGGTGCTCTTCTAAGTGAATGGCACCGCAACACAACAAAGATCATGCATACATGGATATGGTAATGCATACTAAACCGTGCAAACTAGTGCAAGTTAGTACAAAGGGGACCTAGGGCTTGGAGCAATCACATGAGAAAGTCATCCCTCCAAACACTCTGGGCTCTATTTATAAACAAATTGCAGGGCCCTTCGCCCTGTGAATGTCCATTTTGGGTGAATAATGCCAAAAACAAATGTTCTTAAAGAAGAACTCCAGGCAGAATACAACTTAACCCTTGCAGTGTGGGGTTACCCCCACACTGCAAGGGTTAAGTGTTCGCCACTCATGTCTAATAGAATGTATTAGACATTAAAACGCCAAGGGACACCGTCGGAGTGGAGGCGGAGGGAGGATATGGGGACTAGACTAGCAGCGAGCCGGATCCGAGGTTCAGGTGAGTACACCTCTGTTATGTTAGACCCTAGACAAAAACGAGCACTTAACCCTTTGCAGTGTGGGGGTAGCCCCGCTGAGAAGGTTACGTTTTCTTCTGGCCAGCATTCTTCTTTAATATATTTTTCCCAGTTTGAATGTAGTGTTGTAGTGATACATTGTGGCCACTACATAGAGTTTACCAGTTTGAATGAAGTGTGTTGTAGATAGCGCTGATGAGCATAGGAAACATAGTGGCCACAATGTATTGTGACAACACTACATTGGAGCTGGGAAATATTAAGAACATTCATATTTAGCATTATTTGCCCAGAACGAATGTTTGCTGATGTTTATAATTAGACCCCTTTGGGTTTGTGTAAACAGGCTTTTGTCTGCTTCTAAAAAGCTTTTCTGCTTCATCCAAGTCAATCTGAATTTTTTTAAAACTTGAATAACATCAGAAGCAACTCGTAAACGAATCAGCTACTCATTAGCATCAGACGTCGTGAGTCCATATCGGGCCGATGCAGCGCAAGTCAGAAAAACTTAAAAGGATTCCACATATGTCAGCCTGAAGCCCATGTACACAATCCCATTTCCACTCTTTTCTTATACAATGCCCATTATATGTTGATGTTATGGCCGTATACTTAATGTTTTTTTTCCCTTCAAGAGTCGAGGGATAAAGTTGCAAAAACGGAGGAGTAGTGGTGATGATGACGAGGAGACGCCCTATCATAGTGTAACGACCCCAGAAAATGCAACCGGAGCTCAGGTGTTTTTGGATGAGAATGGCCGTCTTAGCTGGCCGGTGTTGTTTTTTTATCCAGAGCACAGTCAGACAGATTTCATCTCTGCATTTCATGAGGACTCCAGGTAAATACCCACCGGCATACCCTAAATGTGTCAGCAAAAAGGTCAGGCTAAAAAAAATGCAGTTTTTACTTTAGTTCGCTATACACTATTAAAAATATATCGGTACAAATTCTGCTTTGTGCCTTTTTACAGGTATAAGCCAAGTGTGCCAATTCTTCTTCCTTTTTTTTTTAAGGTTCTATTATCATCTAACAGCAATGTTCTCTGAGGATCTGCCCCCATGGGACACGGAAAGAAAATATCTTGCTCACAATCTGGAGGTCAGTACATACAGACATTGCAGACTATTGACCTTTTTTGGGCAATCGGCCTTTTCCTCTGTTTCCTGATATTGTGTTTTCCTTTCTTGTATTTGGAAATGTTTAAACATTCTAACTAAAGAACTTCAAAACTTTTCTGGTACCAAAACGCATCTTATTAAAATTTAATTTTAAAAAAACCATGTAAAATGTATGGAATTGTATGTATATCAGTATATGTCTCGTATGGACAGAAAAAGAAGCCTTACTTCAAAGTCACTCGCCAAATATAATTTAAAAAAAATTCATACTTCTTATATCTTTGCTCTCTGTATGTTCATCTTGTATACATAAAGGAGGCAGCAAATACATAATTTACATTACATAATTTTATATATTTTGTTACCACCATTTTCTTTCTACTTTAAATTAGAATTATATCATCTTTGTGGGTTTTTTTTCCAAATGCTTAATGTTATTAATTACATTATTATAGGTAAAGTAGTATTAAGGTCTGGGTGTTTTTTTACCTTATTGCATTCAGGTAAAAACCGCCCAGCACCTTTTTTCTCACCCAGTCCCCCCCCTCCCCCTCCCCCCACACACTTACCTGTCAGCGATGCTCATCCCCACCGCTGGTCCCGAAGCAATCCTCCGTTCCCCAAACTTCCTGGTTGCTGGGGGGAGGATACTGTTGGCAGAGGAGGCCATAGGCTCCTTCTGCCAAAAATCTAACTGTTGGGCGGAGATGAGGGGCGTGGCCTGCCACAGGGCTGTGTGTGTCTATGGACCCACACAGCCACTGCTGGCACGGGTGCCTCCATTAGTCGATGGAGGCACCCGTGCAGGGGGATAGAGCACCTCGGGGACCCACTGGAGGCGAGGAATTGGACACTTTTAAAGAAAAACGCCAACAGCCTCGGGCAAAGGTGGGTCTACTTGTAGCAAATATAAAAAAATAAAAAAGGAAAGCTTTAAAATCACTTTTAATACAAATACTAATAAAGGTAATACTCACTTTTTCTGTATACTCATGTTTTAGGTCTTTATTCTACAAGACTCTGCTCTCTCATGGTTCTCCTCCTACTTATCTATGCGCTCCTTCAGTGTCACCTACAATTCTAACTCCTCCCCTCCTCTTCCTCGTTCTGTAATGGTCCCCCAAGGCTCAGTCCTTGGACCCCTCCTCTTCTCCATCTACACCTCCTCCCTTGGTCAACTAATAACCTCACATGGCTTCCAATACCATCTCTATGCGGATGACACTCAAATTTATCTTTCCACTCCACAACTCTCCCCCCTCAGTGTCCTCTCGTGTCACTAATCTACTAAATGAAATATCCGCCTGGATGTCACAACATTTCTTAAAACTCAACCTTTCAAAAACAGAGCTCATGGTATTTCCTCCCCCCCGTGCACCTTCCCCCAACATTTCAGTTGTGATTGATAACACTCCCTTGTCCAGCTCCCTTGTCCACTCCCCCCATACTCGCCTCCAGGACTTCTCTAGAGTCTCTCCCATCCTCTGGAACTCCTTACCCCAACCTGTCCGTCTATCTCCCACCTTGACTGCCTTTAGGCGTTCCCTAAAGACTCATCTCTTCAGGGAAGCCTATCCCACCTCAACCTAACCACTGAACCTTCACATTCTCAAATAATTCATCCCCACAAAGCTACCTCCTCATGTATCA